GAGTGTATATATGTATATATATATTTATATATATTTATATCAAATTTATGTCAGATATTGTATTTCAACATATTACTTTTAACTTCTTTCATTCAGTAGCAGAATATCTTTGCATTCCTCATTTATTACATAATTAAATTATTGAAACATATTTTTTTATAGTTTTGTGGGAAGCTCTTGCCTTTATATATCTTAAATATATTAAACAGATATCACATCTCTCAGCACATTAATTTCACATACAATAAAATGTAACAAAAGAAATAAACGCTATGTAAATTTAAATAACTAAAGGGTCAAACTTGATGCTATTACTTAATAAATTTTCATTGAGACAGATCTTTAACATTTATCTACAATAATTAAAAAAACATATATATCTTCGAACTGTGTTTTAAAGTGAAATAAAATTCATGAAAAGTTTACTTCATTAAAACCTATACAAATAATAGTTAGATGTTCAGCATAAAAAATATTGTTTGTTGTTTATAATAATAAAAATAGTATTTGAGATTCATTCTTTTAAATCTGGCTACCTCCTTCTACATTCTTCATTATAATTCACAAAATCACAATGAAGAAAATTGAACTAACATTTGCTGGAACGTTGTTGTTCCAACAGTAGTAGACATTTGACTAATACTGTTGAATAAAGCTTCTGCCTGCAAATTTTCTGGCAACCTAGTAAGAAATTGTGCTCCGTGTACAAAATCCATTTTTAATAATTCTTCCTGATATAAGTGTAACACACCAAGTGCTGTTCTAAAAAGGAACTCATCTCCATCTCTGAGAAATACATCCCAGATTCTACATGCAACATCCAGAGGCATTGCTTTCGCATATATGGTGTACAACCAATCCAACAGATATAAATCTGGACTAAGACCAGCTTCTGTGAAATGAGAAAAGACTTTTGGCAGCTTATGTGCAAGTGCACTAGAATATACCTTGTAATAAATTTCCATTTGTTTTTGGTCTAACGTAAAAGCAGCCCTGTGACAAGGATGATTTAATAAATTAGCAAAGCAAATAAAGGCATCTGGAGGTTCCATGTTTAATGATAATATAGCACCCACAAAACTCATACCTTGCACGTAACCTACATCAGGCCTATACACAGCATAGGCTGCTAAAATACCTTGAAGACTATCAGATAATGGTCCGCCTTCTTGAAAGACACATAAGGTAGGAAAGGTACGAGATACATCTAATTTGATTGCAGCTAGCGTGTCGCTTACAGGATTCATCATTGCTCTGTCCAAACATATGTTGTATAGATGTGTTGTTATATTTAAATCATTTGGAATTGCCAACTTCCACACTTTACCACGAACACTGGGTGGTAGACCACGCCACCACAATTCACGTACTTTTTTTGTATTCTTAACACTTTCAAATTTAGTAAGTACTTGTGCATTCCAAGTGTGTGAATCTTCTGCCAATCGTTCTTCTTCTTTCAATTGCAATTCCCTTTGTTGTTTGCGCTCTTTCTCTTCTCTCAATTCTCGCTTTCTCGCTGCCTCTAGAATAGCATTATATTGCTTACGATGACGTTCCTCCTCAACCGCATTCTTCGCTGGTAGATTCGCTGGTCTGGGCTGTTGAATTAGGGCTAAACTTCCTCCTACCTTATCTACATTTCTCGATGGACTACTTGTCGGCGTAGACTGTTGAGAATCTTTGTTCTTCCATGAGAAAACATTCTTTGAAAAAATTGTATTCAATCCCCAACGCTTAGATTTTTCAATTTTCTCTGGAACTTGTTCATCGGAACTCAAGAAACTACCAGTGGGAGAAACTTCACTAAGGGAAGACACAGTACTACTACAAGAACGTGGTAAACTGTTTCTAGGGCTACTATTTGCACTGCCACTCTCAAATCTGATATACTTATCTTCCTCAGCTTTGGAAATTCCATTTAAGGATTCTTCTTTTTGGTCACAAGGAGAATTTGAATGTTGAGATTTACAATCCAACTGTGCATCATTAGAAACATTCACCTCTTCTAAAGAATATAATTGTTTCGTAGTAGGATTATAAGCTAAGGACATACTCTCCAATGCATGATTTAAACTAGTTCCTGCAACTCCCACAGAAACCACATTGCCAGCATCATACCATTTATTTTCACGAATATGGACGCATAGTGCTTTAGTTTTTACAACAGGCACTGAAGCCACATCACATGCCAAAGCTTCATTAATGTTAACACTATTACAGGATATAGAATCTCCATTCAATGACACCAACTGTTGTTTCCCAATTTTTGGAATAATATTATTAGCAATGTAACAGTTGGAATCTTTCCCAGATACTTTCAGTACCTGGTAATTATTGGATGTGTTCCCATAACGGGACACAATACATGGAGACACATTCTGTGATGAAATTGAATGACTATTTCCATTTAAGTGTTGAGACACAGGACTCTTCATGACTGGTGTACCGTTTCTAACCTTATTAGCACACGAAATATTTCTTTAACAAGGGCACACCAATCGTAGATCACTTGTTCATATATAGTGATTATAAACTTGTATATAAGCATATTTTCTCATCACTTTTCGATGACGCTATAAATGCGTGTTGTCGATGCTTTTACTTATATCCTCTGCGTGACGAGACAACACCCTCGTATAAAATGTGTTAACTTTTAGCATACTTATTGTAGCATAGGAATTTATGGATTCAAAAATGTTTCGAATAACCACTGCCTCCAAAGTTTTGCTTTGTCATGTGCGATAAATAGAATTAAATTTAACAATTGCCTTTTTTTTCCGAACTGTCTTCTAACCGAAGAGATGCATTCAGTGTTTTCGATGGTACATTTCTTGCATTGAACTTATTATGTTAAAAAGCATCAAAGAATAGCGTTTTTATCTCAAGTGAAAGAAACAACAGTAAATATTGGCATAATGAAATACAATTTCATTGATAAACATCTAACTTACTGATACTATGTGATGCTGTGAGAGAAATTGTACACTGAATCGGAACTGACAGATACGTATATGTGGTAATATGGCAACGGAACCTTTGCATCTATATTTTTCTATTTACAAATATGATAAAAATATTCTATGACATTTCCGTCAACATTCTAGTAGAACAAAAATACTTTAATTACTGGTAAAACAGTAAATTGTGGAAAATAGAAAACTTGTTTTACGTGTGGTCACTATGATCTTTACCACTGCGACAATAATGAGATCACGTGATCAGTTGACTGGACCTTGTTGAATTAATAATAAATTATTATTTCTTAATGGTTACGTTATATCACTGTTATTATTAATATATGCGTATATCACAAATACTCGAAGAATAAATAATGTAAAAATAAATATATGTACATATATATACATAAAACCAGCGTCGTAATTTGAAAATTTGTATTTCTACATTCAACAAACATAACACTTCATTTTGCAATAGTGAAATTTAAATATTGAAAAAGAGAAAAACTTTATTCTCGAATATAACATTTTTATCAAATGACAGAAATATCATCCAGATATCGAGCAATTATCTTTCTATGTTGATTGGATGTTCGTTATCTTTTAGTTACTGCGTATTTTCTTTTTAAAATTAAATAAAGAAATAATTATAATTTCACGTATAATAGATAATTTCAGATTTAATATTGATCATACAAACCTAACAATTTATGATTAGACGTAATGAGTGTTTAAAAAATAGTGAGATTAATATAACTTTGTAATTGAAAATGGTACTTTAAGTTAGAGCAAAAATTCCTAGAACGTTTGTGTCAAACAGCTGATTGCAGAAATTGATGGAAACGAAAATTCGTATTAATTGAAAGCTACTGAAAAGTAGGTTAAAAAAGGTCAAATATCAGTCGTGTCATTGTCGAATTTCAATAAACAATTGTGATTACTCCATTGAAATATAATTGTTAAGTGTGAATTCTTAAACATAACAGATGTTTGTTGTAAGAAATGTCACAAATTGATATTCAGGATTTATTTGATAAAAGCAGGTAAAGCAACCACCTATAAACAATATATTTAAGTACTGTTTCATTAATAATTCTATTAAACCACAGTTTGTTTAATAATAAACAATACTGTGCAAGTATAATAATAAATAAGATCAATGTTATATGACATACAATTTTTTGCTATTAACATATGGATACTGTATAAATATATAAAATATTTTTAAAAAGAAACGCCAGCAGAATAAAGTCTTTAAAGAATATATTAACTTAACCAGTTACATATTATAAAGAATTTATTGCATTTATTATCTATAACAACCTACATTTCATAAAGTAAGTTCTAAATATATTCTTGTTATATATGTCACCAGTTTCACAAGAGTATAAGTATAAAAAGTAGATTCACCATTTGCAAGTAACTATATTACTAATTGATAAGCTAGTTAATTCTTAATATGACCTTTATGTTCATAATATTTTGATATGTTATTACTAAAATACATAAAATGTATTTTTTAAACTGGTCTGTGTACAAATATTATATTTAAATTAAATGTATTATCTAGGTTTCCTAGTGGTTGGCGGCTACTATCAATATTATTATATACTCCAGTGGGTCTTCTACTTGTGTCAGTACGATTATTAACTGCATTACAACTTTGGCTTCTTGCATCATTATTACCTGATTGTAATACTCTTCGAGTATTCTTACACCGTGGGTTTAGTTTTGTTTTTGGCATTGTGGTAAAAATTCCTGAAGATGAAATTAACGATCAACAATCAAGAATTATTATTGCCAATAATGTCTCGGTTTTGGATCACTTTGCTTTATACAAAATTACACAAGCATTAACTCCTAGTATATGGGAATTACCCACTGCTCTTGGCAATGCGATAGGGCTACAAGTAATGGATATGAGCAGTAAAGAAGCTCTAATCGTCAGCATAAAACAATTTCTTTTAACTTCGAAAAGCAACATTGTACTCCAGCCTGAATTTGGTATAACCAATAGTCGAGTAGCCTTATTGAAGTTCAATTCATGGCCATTTACCATAGAACCATCAGTTCAACCAATTGCCATTAAAGCATGGAGACCAGAATTCATACCTATTCGTGTTACCTCATTGGCATCTACATGGTGGGCTGATGTCTTTTGGTTTATGTTTGTTCCTTACACAGTTTTCACATTTAAGTACCTGAAAGTCATGAGAAACACAGATAGCGAAGTACTAGTACGAGAAATAGAGAAAGATATAGCAACTACTCTTGGACTTAAAACAAGTTCTCATACTGTGTCAGATAAAGCAGAATTTGAGAAACGCTGCATTATGGAGAAAACACAAAGCAGAAGACTCAATAGAAGAAGTTCACCAAATTCGCAAGTCATACATAACATTGAGATACAAAGAATGGTACAACAAGTCAGTGAAGTGCTTCCATTGGTCCCTCATAATGTGATTCTCAGAGATCTATGTATGTAGATATATAGTTGTTGTTGGTTTGCGGACAATGTATTTTATATTTTAATAATGTGGTTGAAAATGGTTTTTTTCCAGTGAAAACACGCAATGTCGACATTACCATTGCCAATATTCTGGACGGCATAGTTACTTATACCCCAGAATTAAGTCAAACAAGTGTTGCACCTTCAGCATCCTGCAATCAAGTGCAAACAAGTATGGTCAAGGATAATAGTAACTTAGGAACTTCTTCCTTTCAGGAAAGAAAGGCTAAGATGATAAGAGAAGCTAGGGAAAGGTATATCCAAAAACATGGACTTAAAAATTGCTGACATTCTTACTACAGTTTTATTGTGATTATTGTATCTCTATTGAAAACAAGTATGTAATGTTTTGCTGTATGTATATTTACTATTACATATTATGAATATAATATTATTTCTAAAATACAATCGTATATTCTTACAACTACCTATCCCTTTTATATATACATTTCATAATGCTATTGTGTACAATAAACTTTGGAAGACTGTGTTTTCAATAGTTTCATATATATATATATATATCTTATTGTCATTATTTATTATACTGTAAACAAACTAAACTTCATTTATACGTCGTTAATACGGAAAAATAAATTTAACTGCTATAACCTAAGAATGTTTTTAATATTTTGATTAAATAAAAATATAATAAATATAAACGTAATATAAATAAGTCATCATTAATATACACAAGCTAAGTATATCATTTATATACACTACAATGTATTATTTCGCAGTATTTTTATGATATGCATTACTATACTAAATAAAAAATTGGAAGACATGTAATTTCATAAGTAATGTATTGTTTTGATTCAATACAATACTATGATTTAATTCTAAAATATCTTATACAAAAAAATATTTCAAGCCCTTTCTTCTTCTTTAATATTTCTACAAAAATATATGAGTCAGTTCGAGTATTTCAATTGAAACATTACTGTTTAATATTTCCAATGCATATATATTTAATATCAACATAATCATCAGTTCCATGTTTAGATCCCTCTCGACCTATGCCTGATTCTTTTACCCCACCAAAGGCAGCCTCTGCACAAGAAATTAATCCCTCGTTTACACCAACCATCCCAACTTCTAATGCTTTAGCTACTCTAAATATTTGTGATACATCACGCGAATAAAAATAACCAGCCAAACCAACAGGTGTATCATTGGCTTTTTGTATAACTTCATCTTCAGTATCAAACTTATTAATAACTGCTACTGGACCAAAAATTTCTTTGTTGTATATTTCCATTTCCTTAGTTACATTTGTAATAAGAGTAGGAGCATAAAACAGTGGTCCTATTTGAGGTAATGGTGTACCACCACAATGTACTTTTGCTCCCTTTTCAACTGCATCACTAACTAATCCATGTACAATATTTAATTGATTTTCTTTAGTAAGAGGTCCATGAGTAACATCTTTCTTACTACCGTCACCCAATTTAATATCACTTTTAATCTTTGCTAAAAATTTTTCAATAAATTGATCAAATACACCAGCTTGTACAAAGAATCTATTTGCAGAAACACATGTTTGACCAGTATTACGGAATTTACTTGCCATAGCACCTGTTATAGCTAAATCTAAATTTGCAGAATCAAAAACAATAAATGGTGCATTACCACCTAATTCAAGACTAAGTCGTTTCATAGTTGAAGCACATTGTTTATACAAAATTTTTCCAACTGGTGTTGAACCAGTAAATGATAAAACTCTTACTTCAGGATTTTCACATAGCTCTTTACCCACAGCTGCAGAATTTTTTTGACTTGTTGTAAGAACATTGAAGGTTCCATGTGGAAATCCTGCTTTCTCTGCAAGCTCGGCTATTGCTAAAGCAGTGAGCGGTGTATCTTCAGATGGTTTCACTACACATGTACACCCAACAGATAAGGCAGCTCCTGCTTTACGCGTAATCATAGCGTGAGGAAAGTTCCATGGTGTAATTAAAGCAGCTACACCTACTGGTTGCTTCAATAAAAATAAATGTCTATTAGGATCTCCTCCTTGCAACACTTCTCCATCAACTCTTCTAGCTTCTTCTGAGAACCATTCAACAAAAGAATTTCCATATCTAATTTCAGCCCTAGATTCAGCCAGGGATTTTCCATTTTCTTTAGTTAAAATCTGTGCCAAATCTTCAGAATATTTCACCATTAAATTATACCAGTTTCTAAGCAAATCACTTCGTTCTTTTGCACCTGTCGCATGAAAAGATTTAAAAGCTTTAGATGCTACTTCAATAGCTGTCTTTGTGTCCTCAACATCCATGTCAGGTATACAGTTTATAACAGATTTGTCTACTGGATTATAAACAGGAAATGTTTGTTTGCTGTTTGCTCCCACCCACTTTCCATTTATATATGCAAGATCTTTTAACAGATGCATTGTTCTAGTTAATATCAATGCATGATACGAAGTGCACTTTTGTAATGTAGATACATTGCGATACATGGTGTCGGCAAGAAATGATAGTCTGTAACATAAAAATTTACATGTGTAAAGCTTTTATTAATATAATATTAAATGAAAATTAAAAAAATTAGACACAAAACATTCTTATACTTGTTGAGCAAAATGTCTAAATGATGTACATTTTCAATCAATGTAATTACTATAGAAGAGTGTCAATAATACACATAGGTAGGTACTGTCAAATCATGTCACATAATACTTACCTCAAGACTAAAGAATATCAAGGAGAGAATTCTTGTATTTTCGACTCTACAACACGTTCGTTTATAAATGGTTATTACTAACACGTTGACGTTATCAATGCATGTTATCAATTTTATTGACAAATTGATCTTATATAACCTATTGCTGCTTTACTTCGATTAAGGGTTTATATGTGTTTCCAGTGTATTCGTTGTCACACGGTGGTAGTGTGTATTACCGGCGCGCCGGCGTCTTTCAGTCAATAAAATTGTTATCGGACATATTTGTTTATTCCAATGTCATAGTTATAAAAATAATAAATCTACAATTATTATTATAATCATGAGTACAAATACAAAAAGAACTATTTACGTAGGTACGTAACTATTTATTGGTTTACTTATAACCTAGATCAATATACCATGTGTGTTTATTTTTGTATGTTACATACTAATGTTTATTATGAATTTTTTAGGAGGTCTAGCCGAAGAAGTTGACGAGAAAATATTACACGCAGCATTTATACCTTTTGGTGAAATTGTTGACGTCCAAATACCGCTAGATTATGAATCAGAGAAACACAGAGGATTTGCTTTCATTGAATTTGAAAGTGCTGAGGATGCAGCAGCAGCAATTGATAACATGGTATATGTATAAAACGATCTACGTATTTCTGTGAGTCATTTAAAAACATGTTTTTGTACAGAAGAACTTAAATTCAATTGTTTTTGCTTTTACTTTTAGATATAAAATATTATTATATTATAAAAATCTTTAACATTGAATCTTTATTATTATTATATTTCTAATTTAGTTTGTGAAAGAAACACTTATCTAATCATTGCTATATCGATCATTTTAATCTCTAAAACATTTTGATCCTTATATTAATGAAATCTTATCATTGATAAATAGAATGATTCTGAGCTGTTTGGAAGAACAATAAGAGTAAATATTGCAAAACCACAAAAGATAAAAGAGGGTTCCTCGAAACCTGTCTGGGCTGATGATACCTGGTTGCAAGAACATGCGGGTGAAACCCTCAAAAGTGATGATAATACTAAGTCAACTGAAGCAGTACAATCCAAGAAAGGAAAACAAAATCCTCAAGTTTATTTTGATATCAGTGTTGGAAAACAAGAAATAGGAAGAATTATCATGATGTTGAGGGCTGATGTGGTACCAAAGACTGCTGAAAATTTTCGTGCGTTATGTACTCATGAAAAGGGATATGGCTATCAAGGAAGCACTTTTCATAGAATTATTCCAGATTTTGTATCCTTTGTCTATACATTTTTATATCTAAAAAGTAAATTTATATAAACACAGTATATTCCTTATATAGTTTTAGATGTGTCAAGGAGGAGACTTCACTAACCACAATGGAACAGGTGGTAAATCAATTTATGGAAATAAATTTGATGATGAGAATTTTGAATTGAAACATACAGGACCTGGTACTTTGTCTATGGCAAATTTAGGACCAAATACTAATGGATCTCAGTTCTTCATATGCACAGCTCGCACAGATTGGTTAGATGGGAAACATGTTGTATTTGGACATGTTCTTAGTGGTTTAGATGTTTTAAAAAAAGTTGAAAAATTTGGAGCAAAATCTGGTGTGCCTACACAGAAAGTAGTTATAACAACTTGTGGAGAGCTAACTTAAGTAGTATTAAAAGCAACTTAACATGTATTTTTTTAAATTCACTCTAATGTTGTGAATTTTGTATTGAAGATACAAAGTTGTTAATGTTAATAAATTTTCAAAAAGATATAGGTAATGATATGACCTAAAACTCAAAGTACAATAACAAAGTATATTTTATTACATATTTGTATTATATAAATTATATTATCAATTTTTCTGTATTTTTTAACTTATGTACAAACCAATAATAAAATATCGTAGCTTTAAAAATAGAAAATTTAGGTGACTTTTACAAATTTTACAAAGTTATCAATACACACAATTTACATAAATTCATATTAACATATTAATCTCAAATGTCAATCTTAAGAATATATTACATGCTTTTGAAATTATTCCTTTTTTCAATTTACTTTTTCATCAATGATGACAAAAGTTTTAAAAATATATTATGGATTAACTAATTATAATATATGAATTATAAATATCATGTTTTAGTTTTAATTATAATTGTAAATTACACGAAGTTTTTGTACAAAAGACATTGTTTTAAGCTAGAGGTACTTGTGATAAAATATAATGAGCTGATTACATTTATATAATGTTGCACTTTAATATTCTCCTTGAAGTGATAAAGTATGTGCAATGTCATGCTTTATAATCGGGTTTCGAAAAATATATTAACAATACCGATTTAATATTCACACTTCCCTCCGTGATTTTGAAGAAGTAACTGCCAACTATTTGGTAACTTCTTTCTTTCTATTCATTGTAATTTATCGTAATGTGGCGTACTACAATGAATCAAGCGGCATTTAATCTTAATAATGTTAATGCATCTGTCATGAAATGTAATCGATTGCAAGGAAAAACGGCAATTGTAACAGCTTCAACAGATGGGTGAGAAATTATTAGATATAATTTATTATTAATTTATAATAATTATTTATTTTAATTATTGGTTTCGTAAATCATAGAACTTAACCTCCTCCATTATACTATTTACTATATAATGTACATTTTTATTACAGAATTGGTTTTGCAATTGCAAAACGTTTGGCTCAAGAAGGAGCCAAGGTAATGATTAGCAGTCGTAAAGAATCAAATGTAAAGAGAGCTCTAGAACAGCTTAAGTCTGAGGGACTACAAGTATCTGGTACTATATGTCATGTTGCCAAGAAAGATGATAGAAGAAATCTTTTTAATAAGGTAAACTAGAATTTTAGATAATCATATCTTATGTTTTAATTTTGATTGGTCATATTTTATTAAAATTATTACAGACAAAAGAAGAATTCGGTGGTTTAGATATTCTAATATCTAATGCAGCTGTAAATCCAGCATTTTCTACACTTTTCGATACTCCTGAGGAAGCATGGGATAAAATTTTTGATGTCAATGTTAAAAGCACTTTCCTTTTGATGCAAGAATCTTTACCACTATTAAGGGACAGTAAATCACCTTCAATGATCCTTATATCTTCAATAGCAGCATATCAACAAGTTACAGTGAGCACAAGAATTTTGTAAGATTTTGTAATTTATTACTGTTATAAAATCTAAATTTACATACATATTTTGTCTTAGGCATTAGGTGCTTATGCTGTAAGTAAAACAGCATTACTAGGTCTTAACAACATTGCTGCTGCAACTCTTGCATCTGAAGGAATTCGTGTCAATTGCATAGCACCTGGTATAATAGATACAAAATTTTCTAAAGTAGTATGTATTAATTTACATATTCAGTATGCCATACTATTGTTTAACAACAATTACATGTATAAAATACAAATATTTTACAGCTTGTTGAAGGGGATACAGGTGAGGTAACTGTGTCCACAATACCAATGCAAAGATTTGGTTTACCAAATGACATAGCTGGTGCAGCAGCATTTTTAGCAAGTGATGATGCTAATTATATTACCGGTGAAACTATCGTTATTGCAGGTGGATTACAGGCTAGACTATAAATACATTTGTAAATACGAAAATTTCAAATACCATGTATTATTTTGTACTAAAAATACTTTATTCTTTTTACATTTGTAATTTTCAATAAATGCCCTATTTGATAAATACGTTTGAACTTACTGACCATACTAATGGTGCAATTTTCATCTTTCATAATTACTAATTTAATGTTAATAGTTCAAAAAATATGTATTCGCGTTTGAAGTAACCAACATATCATCATTTTTTTTTAAATTCTTTACTTTTCATATTTATATAAAAATGTTAAAGTGAAATTTAATGTTTATTTTCATCTCTTAATATGATTGTGCAGTTATTACTGCGCATACTTTATATTACGCGACTATTAGAAGACACACCTTTATTTTCTGCTTGCTCACAGGTGACGCCAATGTCAGCTAATGCAAATGGCAGATGAAAATATGGTTCACCGCGCAGTACAACCAAACGAAAATTATCAAAACCGTGATGAAAATGAATGGAAAAACGAAGAGAATGAGGAAAACATTAACGATACTGGTAAATGTTATTTTCTCTAGAAAAGAATTATATCGCAAATCAGTGTTTCCAATCTCGTTCAATGTTTTGAATAGTCAGAACACATATATTTTTAGTTAGCTTTATTTATGACAATTTTTTGGAATATTTAAAAATATTTGTTTATGATACCAAATACTTACGTTGTAATCGTAGAATTCGAGGCAATAAACGCCCAACTGGATCTGCTGAATTCAGCTTTGGATAACCTTGAGCAAAAAAACGATGATATACGCGCAGGATTAATTGCTTTATTGCAATCAAATAAAGAAGCAAGAAAACAATTTCAAGAATGTCAAAATGTAGAGAATCCGGACTCATAATGTTTCATCTTAGAGGTACATAACCTATTCATATAAATTATGCATTATTTACGTTTTTTTTAGCGGTATAAAGTATTGTAAGTTGTAAATAACTATTATGTATATTTTTTTGCAGATTGTCTAATGTAAATATATTTTATAACGAGACAGTTAGATGTATTACAGTCGTACATATTCCTTGGTACAATGTAATATATTGTTGCAATGTTTAAGAATTAAACATTCCTATTGGAGGTAATTCAGTAGCATATAGAATTGCTCTTATTGTAATGTATTATAGAGCACACATGAAAAAGAATATGTAAACATACATTTATGTACAGTTATATTATTATTTATATTATGTTATCATTGTTTCAATGATTACATTATGCATTAACAGAAGATATTAATAGATCTTTAAATATTTCTGAATCAAACTGTTGAATTAAAAACACATTGGGCTTGTTTGTCAATAAATGATCAAGTACTACTTGACCTCTTGTTCTATTACCATTTAATTCAATATCAGCATGATATTCTACAACATTTTTGGCAATTTCTGGTTTTAACAAAATTCCAGCTAAAATTGCATCACACATAATGTATGTAGGAAAATGTTTTTTCATTTTCCTTTTACATCCTTCTTCAATGTCATTCATGAGTTTCATGCAGGGTGTATCTATTTGACCTAGTACATTTTTTCTCCAGTCCTACAATACATTAAATTTATATTATGGGTATTGTAACACCTTTTGTATATATCAGTGATATACATACATGTGGAATACAAGACTTCAAACATGTTTCCCATGGTAATAACCATAAAGGTTTCTTGTTATTGTTAAATACTATATGGACACTTTCTGGATCCATATAAAAGTTAAATTCTGCTTGCGGTGTAATATTACCCTGTGCTGATAATAAATGTTCTCTATAATTGTTTTTTGTATAATTCATATAATACGAAAAATGTAAATAGTTTAAAATAAAATATACCCGTTACATTTCCTCCCATGATGTAAAAATCCTTTATATGGTTAAGAAATTGTGGATACATTTTTATAGCTAATGCTACATTTGTTAGAGGACCCAAACATACAAGACTAATTTGATTTGGGTTCTCTGACATAATTCTATGCATAGCACACACAGCATGTTCTGTTTGCAATTTATTTGTATCTACTTCATCATTATATACATCTCCAAAACCATCACTACCATGGTACTGGTCTTTCACTGCTTCTTCAGTATGCCATGTAATAAGTATGGGTTCGTGTGCTCCTTGAAAAACTGGTATCTGTAAGTTGACACATGAAAAGTTGAATGTATTTTCAAACAAAGTTACATATTATCCTCGAATAAAACTTACGTCTGTTGCCTCACAAACATTTAATGTCCTAAACACATTTTTAACTACATTCTCTACTGTAGTGTTTCCATTAACACAAGTAATTGCTTTGATTTGAATTTCTTTTTTCTTATGAGCAGTAATAAGTATTATTAGTGCTAATGCATCATCTATACCAGCATCACAATCAATAATAAAACAGTTTTCTGTCATTTTGATTGGAACTATTTGAACTGTTCTCTTATAATATAATTTCTATTTGACTAGATATGTAGCCAATTAAATCTAGAATAATCTAGATATAAGAAATATCTAACTGGTTGAAAATAGTACACTAAACTAAAGATACATCAAAGATGGACGAAGTGTAATCGTTTAATAAGATAAACATAATTCTTCAGTAAGATAATAAAATCCATAATAAAAGATTGCTGTTATCAATCACGCGTTTGATAGTATAAGAATGATAATTATTTCGTTTGTACGGTCACGGATATTTCTCAAAAAGATAAATATTAATCGTGTTAAGTTTGTTTATTGTATACATCTAACGATTCATAATTTATAAGACAATTAGATTGATCGGAATTCTATAGAAAAAGTAAAATGCTAAATAACATATCTTTGTAACTGATTTTCCTTTGCAATGTTTGAGTTCAAATTTTTATCGCAATAGACGTATAGGAATATGTATCGACGTTCAAGGAGTGTAACGAGGTAAGTGAAATGCTACATTAATTCATTCATTGGATATTTTGAGATTTGTAGTAATTTAGCAAAATTATTTGTTATATATTCGGAAACTTGCGGGAATAGATCGATATCTGTGTAGCCTTCTAGTGGCAAATCGTGGAAGCATTACTGTGACATGACAATTGACAATAATAGTATGAGAATCTTATGTGAATTGTAGTCAGTGGTTCTGCTTGCAATTTATTCTCTATGGAGATGAATTAATTATTAAAAATTGAGAAAACAGTTTGTTTTCATGCTTTAAATTACAAATAGTACGTAAAAATGGATGAAGCAAAATTTTTGAAACGGTAGGCATTTGATCGTACGAACACGATAATAATCATCAAATATTTGTCATGATAATTTAACATGAAATTTAATGTCGTCTTATGTCTGTATTAAATACTGTATAATGTTAAAATATAATGAGTATGTTTTTAATATTTAGGAAAGTGAGATCTGGTACTTTGGATGTACATCCGACAGAAAAAGCTTTGGTTGTTAATTATGATGTGGAAGCATTAATCTTGGGTGAATTAGGAGACCCTATGTTGGGTGATCGCAAAGTAATACTCTAAATAATTTGTCATTCATTACTCTTACCTGATACATTTTGTGTGACAATGTTATATTAAAATGTTTTTATAATTATAAACTGATTTTATTTATAGGAATGTCAAAAAATAATTCGGTTGAAGAGCTTGAATGCAGATACTAATGTATCACTTCTAGCTAAGGAAGTGATAGAAAAGTGTTCTTTAATCCATGAGTCAAAATTGAGAGAGGTAGAACAATTGATTTATTATCTTCAGAATCGAAAAACAAATGATACTTCTACAAGTAGGTTTATTTGCATTTAAAAAATATTGTTAAACATTTCCAATATGTTTTTGTTATTTTACATATTTTAACATAGGTAATGATAATAATTCTCAACCTTCAAGACCAGCATCGTCGAATTCAATATCTGCTGATAATGGGGAAATAGAACGTGCTATTATTAGTAATGTTGATAGTTACATTGAATTATTGTACGAGGAAATACCAGGGAAAATTAAGGGTTCATCACTGATTCTACAGTTGGCAAGAGTACCTGATAATCTCCACGAATTGACAAAAAATGGTATTAAATATTTTATATATTGATCTACATAAACATTAATTATCAATAATCAATATTTATCCTGTTAGAATCGTTGTTGAGTGCTTTAGCCAGAGTGTTGAGAGAGGATTGGAGGCGTAGTATAGAATTGTCTACAAATATTGTCTACATTTTCTTCTGTTTTTCAACATACAGTCAATTTCACAATATTGTCCTTGAATACAGAGTGAGTATATTAAGAACAATTGGAAAATATTAACATACTTAACTATTGATTTCTACTCATAGATTGGATCATTATGTATGGATATAATTGACTTTGAACTATGCCGATACGATCAGTGGAAGGAAGATATGGAGAAACGTAGACGTCACTTCGAGAATACCACTGGTTTAACATTCTTCTCAAGTGTAAATGACAACTATGACAAAAAGACTAAAATCATTGATGACATTTGGAATACTGATGGTCCTCTAGATTATGAAACTAAAAAACGATCTACTGACATTTCTGTAACTGAAAATGATATCAAAAAATTAAAAGAGGAACTTGAAAAGAGTCGCAAAAAGTTCAAAAGCTTAATAAAAAAGCAAGAGCAATTACTACGAGGTCGGTAATTGTACATATCTTTAATATGCTGAAAATATTATAATGCAATTTATGTTATAGTGGCCTTTTATTTATTATTAAACATCGCTGAGAATATGGAAGTTGAAAGAAAAATGCGCAAAAAGAATATAATTGGCATGTTGATCAAGACATTGGATAGGACAAATACAGATTTATTAATATTAGTCATTGCATTCTTGAAGAAATTATCCATATTTCGAGAGAATAAAGATCTTATGGTAAAAATCTAGTTCTAACATTTTAAGTACTATTTAATAAGGATACACACGTAATTTATTATTATTTTAGGCAGAGGGAAATATTATTGAAAAAGTACCAAGACTTTTACAAAATAACAATCCTGATTTGGTTTTGAGTACTTTAAAACTGTTGTTCAATCTTTCCTTTGATACAAAACTTAGGGCAAGAATGATAAGAGTCGGTTTATTACCAAAGTTAATAAAACTTCTTGGACAAAGTGATGTTAAAAATAAAACAATCATTTTGGGATCATTGTATCATACCAGTATGGATGATAAAGTAAAGGCAATGTTTACAAATACTGAATGCATTCAAATGGTGAGCATTGTAGAATTTTCTAGTACATACCATTTATAGACAATTTTGCATCTAGTAAATATAAACTCTTTTAAGGTAACAAATATGATTTTGAACTCCGAGGATGATCAACCAAAATTAGAATTAGTAGCTCTTGGAATAAATTTAGCTGTTAATAGCAAAAATGCCCAACTTATGGTAGAGAATAATCGTTTACAAGGTCTTATAAAAAAAGCATTTAGAAATCAAGATCCTCTTATAATGAAAATGATACGAAATATTTCCCAACATGATTCTACTAAAGAGAGCTTTGTTGTAAGTTATTTTACTTTGTAAGGCATGCCATTTTTTAAATAAAAATAAATTTATGGTAATTGACAACAAAAATATTAGGAATTTGTGGGTGATTTTGCTATGGCCTTAAATCAGTCGGACTCTCAAGATTTCGTGCTAGAAGTTGTTGGCGTGTTAGGCAATTTAGAATTACCTGACTTGGATTATTCACAAATACTTCATCTGTGCGATTTGATACCGTGGATACGTAATAATCTTGTTCCAGGTATATTTTCCGAAATCAAATCTTATTATTTTAATTCTCATCTCAAATTAATTTCTGTTTTCTTCTTTTTTTGGTTTTAATAGGTAAAGCGCCCGATGATTTAGTACTTGAGATTGTTATATTTCTGGGTACAGCAGCTTATGATGAAGATTGTGCACGATTGTTATGTAAAGCAGACATACTACTTTCTCTTATTGAACTCCTTAAAGGTATGTATAAATTAAGAATGCGAACTAAAAGTTAATTATTAACAAGTAATATTTTTACAGCTAAACAAGAAGACGATGAAATGGTTTTACAAATAATATATGTTTTTTATCAAATATCTAAACACGATTCTACAAGAGATTACTTAATACGCGAGACTGGTAATGGTAATAGTCAAATTCTCTGCTTTATCCTTTTAATTACTAAAGTATAAAGTTGGTAATGCGCTTTGAAAATAGGAAACAATTTACACTTCGTATACTGAAATGTGAATATTATTTGTAGAAGCGCCTGGGTATTTGATAGATCTTATGCATGATAAAAATCCAGCAATTAGGAAAGTGTGTGACGCGTGTTTGGATGTTATTGCCGTAAGTATATTATACATGTAAATACTTTTTCAATAAAAGTCTGCCTACGAAGGAAAATGAATTGAAATTGACTATAAAATTTTAGATGTGCGATAAAAATTGGGCAGCTCGTATAAAAGTGGAAAAATTCAGATCACACAATCAGCAATGGCTAGAAATGGTCGAATCTATAACAAACGATACTACTAATCATTTGTTACCAGAAGAAGATGATAGTCTTTCACCGTTTACGAATGGTGATCTCTTAAAACACACAATGTTATTTCCTTCTGGTAAATAATTTTTAGTATACATATATTTATTACCAATTTGTACGTGAAACTATCATAATTCGTTAAATCTATAATAGGTAATGTATCATCGTTTAGTGCAGACGACAGATTTTCAATAATGAAAAATTCTTCAGAATCTTCTGAAAATCAAAGTCGACCGGTTAGTAGGTAAGTCTTTTTATACAGTTATTTAAACTTACATGATTACTTTGACTAAGTAATATATATATGGCAATAAAAATTAATTCATATTTTATATTCGTATGTTAGGTTCAAAGATTTTGATGAGTTAGGCGAACTTATGGCTCGTTCGAAATCTCGTATGTCTGTTGGTTCCGGGATCGAAGATCTCTATTATAATTCCAAAGTGAAATTTGCCGAATCGGACAGTTCGCACGTGTTAATATGAAAACTAAATCAAGTCTTAATGGATTATCGGCTAGCGATGATAAGAACTTCAATTCTTGTTTAAGATCGTATTATCTTTCCATATAAATGTGCATAATGATGCATGTAATAGTTGCTTCGTTTGTTTGAGTTTTAATTATAATTATAAAAATTTATTGAAGCATTTCAATATCTTAACTTTCATTTGAACTTTGCGTTGATCGTGCAAATAAACATAATGGCAACACTTACATGGATCACTTTCTATTTAATTATTTACAGGAAGATACTAAAAAGCTTTAAAAAGTATAAGTGATAAGATACTTCGATCTCATAGAATTAACAAAACAGCAAACTAGACGTGTGCGGCAACCTTTATAAGAATCACTTTGTATTTATTTATTTATTTATTTGCAAAGGAATTTTTAGGAAGCTTTAATAATTATGTACACGGATAAGTTATTTTGATCTCATAATGCAGTATATCTTAAGCTTTATTTATTATAAGTTAAATTAATTTACATGCGAACGCTCAATTTAGATTGATTTCTAGTCTCGTAATTTTACAAAACAATTAATATAATTAATAATGTGATGATCTTTTCCACTTTGTAAGTTTAGTATGTGCAATAATGTGACACCACGACTAATTTTAGCATAATTTTCGTAATAATGTAATAGTACATAAATGCTTTCGCGGCACAGCATTTATTAAGCATTTACTTAGTCAAAGAAAAATAATTTAAAAACCCCATAGTCAAAGTTAATTTATACAATCTATTTTATACTATAATACCAGAAAGCCTTTAGCGAGTGCTTCGTTTCAGTTTAATTATTGAATACACATTCCAACACACTTAACTTTTGCTTACTTCTTTGCAAAAAATATCGATGTAAAGTGATGTTATATTAAATCAAATGTTACTCACGATCGTTTATTATTCTCTATATCATAATAAATGATAACGTAAATTGCAAAATATAATTTATTTCGTCTCATATAAAAATTTTATTTGTCTCGTTGAACAGTTTACAAGAAAGAAAAAAAATGTATGATCATTGAATATTCTTTGGTTTATTATTTGAACTCAGACTTTTTCGTATAATAGAATTAGCGGCTGGTCTAAATACAATGGTGTAACTATTATCACCGTCAGTATAAAACGTGTGTTCCTTTAAATCCCAGCTAACTGGACTATCTGAAAATCCCTGTACATGTAAAGCACACCATGGCATAGTGTTTCGCATCAATACATATTCTTTTATGGCCTTATATAAACATGTTACTTGCTGCCTTGTAAAAAACCCAGTCCATTGTAAATATTTTACTTGACCAACATCTACAGAAGGTGATGGACAGACATATGTATTTACATAGTCATCTGATTTAGTATTTTTCCTGAAACAATTACTTTGTTACAATAGAATTTTCATTAATTTCTTTTAATGATCTTCTAATATATTTCATACATACAATTCACCGGAAATACTAAGAACTCCAAGCCACTCAAAAAATTTATCGTTATCACTGTCTTCTGAAATTATTGGTATTCTCAGAGAATACTCAGTTTTTTGCATAAAAGTTTGACGACAAAGCAGGACGTTGTATTGATGCTCATAAAACCATGCTGCTACCGATGATGGGCATAGATTTTCATCTTCAAAAGTAAAATAAGTCGCTTAAAGAACTTTATGCAGAGGTAAAACTAAATTCAAGAAAAATAAAAATACTTTACCTGGTGGATTCCAAGAAATTATTACATCGAATTTATGCTTAAAACGTTCCTTTAACGATGTTCGAACACGCTCATAATTCTTCTTGCCAGGCGTAAAGCTTTCAGATTTTAAATCAATTGTCACGACTTTGATTTTGCGTTACCGGTAAAAAAAAATAAACGAAAAATAAAAATAGTAAAATGTAAACTTTATTCATAAATATACAATAAAATTTACGTTAATAAATATCTACTGTTAAAAATCGTTCTTGCAAAACTGTTTCTCAACGCGAATAATGATAAGATACAACTATTAAATTACATAATTTCTAATATGCACAAAATTATTAAATTATTATTTATTGGTTTCCTTTATACAACTTTATTGTATAGAATGATGTAAAAAAAATATATATCCTCCTAAATTGTTGACAATAATTTAATCACTTTTTGAATGTCAATTATGCAAATGATAAACTTGGACTTGTATCCAAATTTGTATTAGTGTTCTTTAATTCTTCTCTAAAAAGATTTAACTCTGCAGATGACACTCCTTGCCAGTTTTCTAATTCGGATAGCCGTCGTAAGTTATCACAATTTTCCATCAATAGCTGTATAGTTTTCATCGATAAATCATGACTGTACAATATTTTGAGCTCCTCTAACTTATTCATTGGATTCTGCAAAAGTATTCTTCTCATTGCTTCGTCTCCGATACCAGTCGATGAGCCCAATTGTATAAATTTAATATTTATACAATGAGAAAGCAAAAACTCTAGGTGCATATTTGTACATTCTGCTACACACTTAATTCTTTCTAACAATCGAAAAGGCGACACTGCAAGCTTTCTTGGATATGTTTGCGCGCGTTCTAAGAACTCACAATTATAAAACATTAGGCTTCTTATATCTGGGCAATACTGACTGATAGATATCAGTGCATTCAAATCAATTTCTTCTACATGCTCTAAATGTAGACTTATAATCGTATTACCTTTAATTTCCAACAGTGTCTTTATTCCATGGGTATAAAAATCACAAGATAAGAGCTTTAATTCTTTTAAACAATCAAGAGTAGCGAGAATTGTTAAATCGACAATTCTTTCGTCGCGTAATAAACAAAGGCTCGTAATATATGGACACATGTCAACTAAAAGATATAAATGTTGCATACTGAAATTTCGACTTTCAAACGTTCTTATGTGAAAAGAACTTTTTACATCGGTTTCTTTTTCATTGATAAGCTCTAAAACGAATCCAAATTCATCGCATCTGCCGATATCTTGAATATTCAAATGCTCTAAGAAGAGTTTTGAATAACCAGGTATACTCATAGAAGTTCTACATAATTTGACTCGTGTTAAATATTTACATGAAAGTAAAGGAGCAACGCTTCTGTCTGTAACAGACCTAGATGCAGTTGCATCTAGCTTTCGCAGTTTTTTACAATGTTGAGCTAGGGCCATTATAATATTATCTGTACAGTCAAAACATAAAACGAAGCATACTAAATTCGGCATAACAGAAACTCCATTAATAATCATTTTTTCAATGTCTGATGTTCTCCAACCAGCTGAACCTGAGCCCAAGTCTAAAACTTCGAGGCCAACCATGTCATGCAACTTATTGTAAAGCACATGTCTCATAATTTTAGGCCAAACAGAGAATTCGATCGTTCTTAAATGTGCATCTATAGCTACTTCTGTTAAATGAAGAGCAACCGTCATTTCCGATAAGAAAGCTGTGGTTAAAGCAAAGTCATTGTATGTACCTCTAGTTTCTTTAACTAAATTTACAACTGCAGTCAACACAGCTACAGACATTTTATTGTATAAATTTTGTGGTACATTCGAGCTTAATAAATTTTTCATGAATTTTACCATCGAATGTAATTTAGTACTTCCATATTCCGGATTTGTTTTAGAAATGGTGCAAACCAGCTTTGTCATGTATCTACCAAAAGCAATTACAAATTCCCCAATGGAATATAATGCTAGATCTACTAGCATAGGGACCTGGTGCTTTTTTGGCATTTTGATGTTTTTTATTTAACTCCTTAGGACTTACCATAACGTGTATGTACTTTACGGTCAAAAAACGAGACCTTTCCTTCTAAACCAAGTGTTTGAAAGTCTTCAGTTAATAATGTCAGTATTAAATGACCAGTAGGAGTAATAGCAATTGCATTATCCAAGTCTATTTTGTTTCCAATTGTCAATAGGCTCAGTTCTCCTAAAACATTTATCAACATATACATGATACTCATATTTAAACATATTACCTGCTACTTATTCATTGTACTATAGAAAATTATGATGCCATTATTCCTTACTTTAAAATCTTGGCATTAATCCATAACGATTTCCATTTATAAAGTAACGATAAAGATGATTATTTCTACTATATTTAATTATGCTATTAAAATTATTTATTATATAAACAATAAAGGTCAATTATTTTTATTGTATTTAATTAACTTGTCAATTCTATTTGAATATATTCTATTCATATTCTATCGGATAATTAATAATAATTCTATTATATTGTGTGTTTACCTTTTTTAACAAATGCCTCAATGAATTCTTTGTTTATTAAGTCAGATACGTTCACTGCATTGATGCGATAATAATCACTATCTTCTAAAACGCAAGTTTGCAATTCATCCGGAATTCTGACGGTGTCAGGAAGCACCAAAGATACCTGGCACAAAGCCAAAAGTAATTGCGAATTATGTAAAGATTCCTCAAAACATAACCTACGTAAAATTTGAATTAATTTAAATCAATTTTTTACACACAGAATGATTGAAGAAGTGTGTCCCAACTATGTCCAGTACATCTGTTCTTTTGAAATCTCTCTTTTCTAAAAGAGTAGAAAAATGATGTTGAGGAGGCTTAAAGTCCCATACTTCTGGGCTAAGCATTTTAAGAACAAATGAGTAGTTTTTACGATAGACAGACTTTCATTTTCACTTCACAGTACAAAATCAGTCACTCACACTATCCATTGCGCAGCTTTTAAAGTTTATTTTGTAGAATTTATTCCACGTGCTGTTAAGTATTTCTCAAATAAATACAACTTTAGTGGCAAAGTATTCCACAAGCCTCGGTAGCGCAGTAGGCAGCGCGTAAGTCTCATAATCTTAAGGTCGTGAGTTCGATCCTCACCCGGGGCAATTTCTTTTTATGTTATTACATAAAATGTCCAAATTAAATATATATATATAATTTTTAATTTTTGCTCACAAATGTTCATTGCGTCGCGAAATTTCAAAAGCAGATAAATAGGGTTGCTAATTTTTAGAAAAAGAAATACGTCATAAGTGTGTATACCTACATATAATATAATATTTAATTTACATATTTAAAAGTCTTATATTCTTACAATGAATAATACATGAAGATATAAATTAGTTAATTAAAATCATTATTTTCGTCTTCTTCTAGTTTCGTTTGGATTTTTCTTCATCCAATATTTAAAAGATCCTCCTGACCTTATACCTAGCATTGCTGATTTAGAATATACGTCACGCATAATAAATGGAGAGTAGCCCGCTATATAATCATCTTGTAAAGGATCATTTTTAGTGCGAGCTAATCTTGTTTGTCTTTGGTCAGGTAGTGGCTGATCTTCACAAAGAATAGGATTGTTTGCATGTTTTCCACCTTTTGGCATTGGCAAAGAAAACTAAACAAATTGTTTCAATTATTAGATAATTATCATTAACTTAGAAATCAGATAAGAAAAGATGACAAGAGGAGAGCTTACTCTTTTGCCTTTCTTCGATATTGGTTTTCGGAAATTAATATGAATTTGTTGATTTCCTTCTCCATCTAAAGTAATTGCAACCTTCTTTAATGTTTTATTACCACAACTAGGACAAAAAACTTTCGTCATGATGCTGGTAGTCTTATAACATGCGTAACATCTGAAGATGAAAGTTTTCATTTGTTTAATTACTCTTCCATCCAATGCAACCACGTTCAATCCAATCTGTTTTAGAACATTTTGCATAGCAAAATCCATTGTTAAACATGCAACAGTTGCAGGTTTCTCTTCTAAAAGTTCTGAATCAATTTCCTTTTTCACAATAGATATGTTTTCTGTAATTAAAAAAAGATTTTACACATCTTTCAGAAGTATCTTGTATATGAAATATTTTAAAGAATATTGAAAAAATGTACTAGGTGTAATCCATCCACTATCATCATCATCATCTTCATCTTCATCTTCATTTTCATCTTCATCTTTATCTTCATCTTCATGTCCATCTTCATGTTCATCTTCATGTTCATCTTCATGTTCATCTTCATGTTCATCTTTATCTACATCTTCATTTTTATTTTCATTTTCATCCTCATGTCCATCTTCGTCATTTTCATATTCATCATATTTAGTACTGCCTTGCTCATCATCAGATGGCCCAAAACATCGAGGAAGAATAGTATTAACTTCGTGTTCTGATAGTTCACAGGTTAACTTTGAAAATTTAGAAGATAAATCTTCTTTCTTCTAAAAAAAGTTTTGAAAGTCACATCTAATTTTAACAATTTTAAGGAGAGAAAAGTGATATATTTACTTGTTTCTCTGGCATATAAAAACCAGCTAAAGGAGTATGAAGATCAGTAGCTTCCTGTGCATGATAATCTACTGTTTTTGATACTGGTGGAACAGTTTTTAAGTGATCTGTTCCTAATTTTTCCTTTTCCAATTGATATGTTAATGCAATTACTTTTATATCAGTTGCTGATAAACTTGTGTAATCACCAGTTCTCTTAGCGAATTCTGTGACTATAAATGTAACATTGAAATTGTTATATCTTAAATTTATATATTAAAGTATTCTTTAAGTATATACAAATTACATTATATTACCAAATTTTATGTTCTCAGCATGTGCAGTTTGTACTATTAAATCATATGGCAAAACAGCTAATCTTCTTAACTGCCTTTTATTTGTCACTTCATTTATCACATCTTGTTCTGTTATTATATTAACTCCGATATCCTAAAAATATTATTTTTTATTATCACATTGCTATAAACTGCAAAATACTTTTTAAATATCAAAATGTAAATAGAATATGTGAACGTTACAGTTATTTAGAGATTTACCTGTAAGGCTGCATTTTTTATAAATCCGCTAGTATCAACAATTAAATATTGCACTTTCTGATTTTCGTTCATGTTTACTAATTTCCACGAGAAAATTGTTTAATAGCATATATGCACGTGGTCCTACGACAATAAAATATTTATCAACGTTATAGCGAGTATCTATGAATGTCATACTCACATAACAGCTGTTGCATGCATATAAATATGTTCGTTTTCAATATACTCATTCATGAAAACATGCCTTGAAGTTGTAGCATCATAATAGTGTGGGAGCTACGATCTTCTTTGATAGATAATGTGTTAATAGTTTGCTCGCAGATTACGAATTTTATTTTTCATTTGTAAATGTTTAAAAGTTTACCTAATAAATTAATATATTTGAACGTAAACAAAAGATAATAAAGATCATAAACTTCTGTTATTATTTATAAAACATCCATATGTTTACCAACATTGAAACAAGAGACTTTTAAACATTACTGACAAAGTGTAAGTTCAGTTTACTTAATCATGTAGGTCAAATTTTAAAATTATGTACAATTATTAAAATTGAAGTATATATTTTTACATCTTGTGTAAATGGGAATTATAGAAACATTGTAATAAAATTTTTACCTTTTTAGATCTTATCAAGAGATAAATAAGTATTGGTTATAGTATTGGACTTTGTAAAGGGGAATTCCCTCAGTAACAGTTTCTTTAATCCAGTACATAATGAACGTACAAGTCAAATATCACTGTCTTCTCACAGAATTTTTATCTGTTGCTCAGTTATATATCAATGACACTGTATTATTAACACTTAAAGATTATTATGAGCATCATATAAATTCAAAACGTAAATTAAGTCAAATTAAAGATTTAAAGGCATTAATAAAGGTATTAGAAAAACGAGATATTCTTAATATCAATAATATTGAACCTCTTCTTTATATATCAAATAACTTTTTACATGAATTACATATATTAAATTCTATAAAAGATTATCAACTTTTCCTTGAAAACACACAGTGCTCCAAATTTTGTGACATGTATCAAGATGACAATGGTGAGTCCTTAGTTTCATAAGTTATATAATATATTTTAATCATAGCGCTTTTTTCAATAGAACCCGAACACAAAGAATCATTAAAAGAAGTTGATATACAATCTGAAAGTACTGAATCTGAATGGAGATCAGCATTGCAATCATCAACATCAACATCAACACTTTATTCTCATCCGGAACAAGATACACTGCTTCAACAGAAGGGTAAAACATACATTTTCTATGGTATATATTATTAACCATTATACAAATTA